GCCTCGGAAGTGGTCTAAAGTCTGCTACCTTAAATCGCAGCACGTTGATGTGGTATGCCTGCAGGAAACCAAGTTTTCACAGTCCTCCGCCCCACTGTATCTTTCGCCTCATTGTTCCACTTTCTACACGGCCTCAGCTCCTGTCAAATGACTGGGTGTTTTGATAGCCTTCAAGCACATTCTCCACTTCACCTATGTCCGACATATAGCAGACCCCATGGGCAGGTATCTACTTTTGCAGGGCACCGTTTGGGATCAAGAGGTCACCTTTATCCCCTATTATGCCCCTAATCGCTTTCAGCACAAATTTTTCTTGCATCTTTGTTTTATCATTTCCCATCACTCTAAGGGCCTTCTGCTCCTTTTGGGGATTCCAATGTTTTTGGATTCCGCATTGGATCGGTGCGATGCTGGGGGGGGCGGCCCCTGCTCACGACTTGGTGTAGGAGGCATGTATGCGCTCGCTTCTGCAGTTTGCGGGGCTGGTAGACGTTTGGAGGGAACTTCACCCTACTGAGCGTGACTTCACATTCTACTCCAATCCTCATGACACTTTTGAAGAATTGACCATGTATTTATGCTGATGCAACAGATTCCATTAGTCAGGCAAATATCTATCCCTTCCTCACCATGATCCCCTGCTCCTACTTCTTGCATTCTCAGGTATGGCGTGGGGCCCTTTCCATTGGCGTATTAATGAGTCTTTATTGACCACTCAGGTCACCTGTCATCAAATTGAGTCCTTCATACGGACATATTTTGCGGACAATTCAGGATCTGTTTCCTCGGCAGTACCCCTATGGGAGGTGCATAAAGCTACGGTATGGGGCCACATTATACAACTGGCTGTGTCTCTAAAGCGGAAGCGAAATCAGCGCCTTTCAGAACTTCATTCCCTTTTGGCCTCCGTGGATGCTCGTTGGAAGTCACACCAGTCCGCGGCCCATAAATATACACATAACACCCTGGCCGCAGAACTGGATTTACTTGCTTCTTCAGAGGCTGAACAGGCCCTACGTTGGACCAAACACAAGTTTTATACCTGCGCTAACAAGCTGGGTCCGATGCTGGCTAGGAAACTAAATTTTGTGGGGAAACCCTATAAGTCGGTCCAGTTGCGGCTTCCTACAGGGGGTTGTACTTCCAATCCCCAGCAGATAGTCTCACACTTTGTGGACTTCCTTTCACATTTGTACGCCAAACCAGATCCCTTTCCTGTAGCTCAGGCAGAAGCATTTTTTCTGGATTTACAGCTCCTGGGGTTGTCTGAAGCTGCACAGATAGCCCTCAATGCAGGTGTGTCTGTGTCAGAAGTACTTCAAGCTATTAAATCCTTGTGGTCCTCCACGGCCCCGGGTCCAGACGGCTTTTCGGCATCTATTACAAGAAATTTGCAACTCTGTTGGTACCCTGTCTCTCCAAAAGAGAACATAGCCAGGAATATTAATGGCCCAGTCATGTGAAGAATGAAGCCAAGATTCAGCAATACCAATTAAATCATAGTTCTCTTCATGCACCAAAGCTTCCAGCTCACCTGTTTTGCTTGGCAGGCTTCTGTCATTGGTGAACAAACACTTAAATTCATTGACACCTTTTGAACACGTATTTAGCATATTTTTTATTTCGTACAAATTGTACCAATTCCACTGGTTGTAACATGGGAACCATCTTATCACCTGCCATAGCCCTCCCCCTATCTTTCCCCATTCCACCCACCAATAAGGACTGACCCTTGTCTGATCTGTCTGCCCCATTATAATCTAATTCTCCCTCCCCCCCCCCCGATCCTAGTATAAATACTCCTCCAGCCGTCCCATAAACCTCTCCCCCAGCACAGCAGACCCCCTTTCATTTAGGTGCGAACCATCTCTAGAATATAGGTTGCACCCCAATGAAAAGTCAGCACAGCGCTCTAGAAACCAAAATCCTTCCCTCTTACACCAGGTCTTTTGCTGTGCATTTAGTTCTCTAATCTCCCCCTGTCTTTCCTGAGCTGCGCATGGCACAGGTAATATTTCAGAGAATATCACCTGGGAGGTCCTTCCCTGCAACTTTCAGCCTAGTTCTTTCATTGTGGAGCCTCCACCTTCCATGTATTCTGTCATTGGTTCCAACATGGACCAAGACAACTGGGTCATGCCCAGCCCCTCCCAGTAATTTAACAACCCGGTCCATCATATGCTGAACCCTGGTACCAGGGAGACAGCAAACCATTTGGTTGAAGTCATCCTGGTGACAAATTATTTTATCAGTCCTGATTAAACAATCCCCTATTACCACCAACTGTCTAGTCCTTCCTGCACTACCCTCACCACCCCTCCCAGATGGTCTGACCTCCCGGCTGTTAGGGATAGCAGTGACAACCAGGGCTGCCACCCCTGAGCCTGCCACCCCCACATCTTCACTCAACTTGGCAAATCTGTTTGGGTGCTCAAAGATAGGCCCAGCCTTCCTTTTCTGTGAGCCCCTACCACTCCCTCTCCCTACAGTAACCCATCATCCTACCTGATAATCTTGACTAGCCCCTCCACCCGCCACACCAATCCCATTTGCTACCTGCTCAGAAAGCAAAAGACCCCTTTCAATGTTGTCGGTTCTGCTCAGTGTTGCAACTTGCTCCTCCAGATCTCTAGCGGGAGCTTTCAAAAGGGCAACCTGCTCACATCTGTCACAGCAGTATCCATCCTGGAGCTGTTGCTCCATTGTTGCATACATGTGGCACACTGTGTACTGTACAAAACCTTCAACCCTGCTAGCACTCATTATCCCAGTTACAATATTAATATTACTAATAGGAAAAATCAGTTGTCACTTACAGGTTAGTAGACTCCTGTATAATCCCGTTTTCAACTCCGTTTTTTTAACTCCACTTAATCAAATACAACTATCATCATATCTCAGAGCAGGGGCGGACTGACCATTTGGAAACTCAGGCACTGCCCGAGGGTCAGTAGGGGGCCCCATAAGATGCCCCTGGTACCTTTTTCATAGGCTTTTTGAGTTTGGACAAGGACACAGGGGCCCCATGATCCCCTATTGCCCGGGGCCCCATGAGTTGTCAGTCTGCCCTGTCTCAGAGTATTAACCCCCATCTGACCACTCGCTTGTCAATGCTCCAGAAAGTCCATTGTTTCCCAGAAAATATGACTCACTGTTTGCAGGAATATCCCTCCCCAACAAGTGCGCCAACATCTTCAAGGGCCCAACGTAGTTGGCAAAAACTAGCTTTAAAGACTGTACACAATTCACCAACTATAGAGCACCATTTTCAGCATATTTATTTCTCTCTGTGTCTGGAAGGCCTAGGCTTAGCTCTCTCACCCTAAGTGCCCATAGGCAACGCAGCCCTGATATCCATTGGTAACAGTTTACTGTTACCCTATGCTGTTCATTTAGTGAGAAGAGCTAAAGTATATGCTGGATTGGTTTGAAATTAAGGTAGCATTATATTCATATCAGGTAAAGCCTTGTTATATCATATTCTGCAAAGAAATCCTCACTGTTATACTCTGCTTGTCTGAACATTATTTGACAATATACTTTGTTACTTTACCACAATATCTAAAGTTTCATTTCAGGGTGACCCTAAGGTGTTAACAAAAATTGTGAAATTAATAAAAGTGTAGCACTGCTGAATACTAAAACTATAATATATAAATATCCATATTAAAGTGTTGCTGTGATACACAATACACACAATATCCTATAAAAAATCATAACCTAGTGAAACTTTACATATACTGTAAAATTGCTGCACAAAACATATTTTAATTGAATGTTATTAAAAATTACCCTTCCTTTTCAGTCTGCAGTGCTGTAATTATCTGTCAAATGCAATGCAACATGGCAACCTGGACGCCTTTGTACACAGTTGGTGTCAGGGGCGGACTGACCATTTAGAAACTCAGGCACTGCCCGAGGGCCCGGGGTCAACAGGGGGCCCCATGAGATGCCCCTGGAACCTTTTTCATAGGCTTTTTTGAGCTTGGGCAAGGACACAGGGGTCCCATGATCCCCTATTGCCCGGGGGCCCCATGAGTTGTCAGTCCGCCCCTGGTTGGTGTACAGAACGTCCTCAGAAATGTAATTTCCTGCTTGTGTGATTGGCTAACTGATTTTCCCACAAGTCTGCTCTAAGATACAAGTCAGATTCGACCACTGGCGTAATGAAGAAAGTATAGCCAACTTTAAAATGGGATTTGATGGTCTACTCTTCTTTTTCACATTGAAGGTCTCCCTGTGCTCTCTATTGATTACTATTGAGAAGGAAGTTGTATTATGGATCTTCTTTTCATTGAGGTCAAGAGTTATGGATAACCCACAGCTGTTCTCTGGTTGGTCTTTGCTTTGGACATACTTTGTTCATTCAACATCCTATTCCCTTCAGTTTAGGGTTAAGTATCTTACAAAATTTACACTGTATAGGCCAGTGTTTCTCAACCTTTGTTCAGTCAAGGCACCCTTTAAAATTATGGACAGTCTTGAGGCACGCCATTCTAAAATGGGGTGCCTCAAGACTGTCCATTTTAACTACTTTTAACTACAACTACTACTACCATTTTAACTACTTGCCTACCGGGCACTTATACCCCCTTCCTGCCCAGGCCAATTTCCAGCTTTTAGTGCTGTCGCACTTTGAATGACAATTGAACGGTCATGTAACATTGTACCCATATGACAGTTTAATCATTTTTTTCACACAAATAGAGTTTTCTTTTGGTGGTATTTAATCACCACTGGGTGTTTTATTTTTTGCACTATAAACAAAAAAAAGAGCAAAACATTTTGAAAAAAAAAAAAGGTTTTGTTTGTTTCTGTTATAAAATTTTGCAAACAGGCAATTTTTCTCATTCACTGATGTGCATTGATGAGGCTGCATGGATAGGCAGCACTGATGGGCACTGATAGGTGGCACTGATGAGGTGGCACAGATAGGCAGCACTGATAAGCTGGCACTGATGATGCTGCACTGATATGCAGCAATGATGAGCACTGATGGTGGCACTGATGAGCTGGCACTGATGGGTGGCACTGACTGGCGGCACTGCTGGGCACTGATGAGTGGCACTGCTGGGCAGCACTGCTGGGGGGCACTGCTGGGTGGCACTGGCGGGTGGCACTGCTAGGCACTGATGGGCACAGATGGGTGGCACTGATGGGCACAGGTGGGCGGCACTGCTAGGCACTGATGGGCACAGATGGGTGGCACTGCTGGGCACAGGTGGGCGGCACTGCTGAGCATAGGTGGGTGGCACTGCTGGGCACTGATGACCAGGGCACTGATCATCAGTGCCGATCTGTTTCCTGACAATTGCCGGTTATCAGCAGTACTTTCCTCATGCTGCGCTGCTGGGGGCACGCGGGAGGGCGTGTTGTGGGAGGACATCATATGACACCCTCCCAGAACTGGACAACTGTGCTGTAGCCATCATTCGGCTACAGCCCGGTTGTCAAGTGGTTAAAAGGGCATCCCATTCTAAAATGTGAAAAACTATTCTAATAGTTTTATATAATGCAGCAACACATGTAGGACACCCAACATTAGAGGTGATTTATTCTTCCGATGCAAATACACTTCTACACACTGGTACCGACTAGTATTCCAGTGTTTCACTCTCCCTCAATTTTTATCTATCACTGAGCTAATGTGACCCCAGCACTGATGGAGAAGGGCAAGGGAGGGTCAAACTAGGATGCTGTGCAGGCAGCTGACATCCTCCTTATCAACTGATGAGGTCATTGGTTGTCAAGATTCTTGTTCCACCCATTGGCTTGTATACAACTTTTGGGCAATTTTTAGACATTTTGCCAAGGCACCCCTGAAGAAACCTCAAGGCACCCCAAGGTGCCTGGGCACCGTGGTTGAGAAAGGCTGGTATAGGCAGTACAGTCCAGACTGTGAAAGTGAGAGGACTATGCTGCGGGGTGCTAGATTAGGGAGAGAGACTGCAATTGTGCCTGTGGAAACTGTGAGAACTGGAGCCACTGCAAGAGTACAGACCTTGATGCACTGCTTATCAGAGTTGCCAAGGGGCAACCCAGAGCTAAGAGACACATGCACAGAGGGTCCACTACTGCTGTATTGCTGGGTCTGGTGAGAGGGCCTGTCAGCCGTTATTTGCTACCTTCTCTAGAGACTGAGCCATTGGTAACTACCTAATCAGCTGCATTATACTTATTGAACGGCTTGCAGGCCTTGTTGACTGCCTTAAAGCACGCCAATGGTTATTGGGCCCCAACATTTAGCAGGCAGGACTAAAGACTGCCTCTAACAGTTGCCACCCCGAGACCTTTTTCCCCTTGCTCAGTTAAATAGGTATCTTTTAGAAGACACTCTACCATACCCCACCAATCCCTTAGAGTGCATGGTAAAACAGTGTAATATTATTCTCAATCATAATGCATTTAATGTTATCTACGTTGTTTATTGTTGAATTGCTAAATCATGTATTGATTTCAGTTAGAGGTATAGAACCTGATTTTAGTCACTTTGGCATAATCATTACCCTGACTAGCAGACTGTGTTCAAATTTACCTGCAGTGTGTTCATTTATGTTCTACTGCCATTTATTCAAAACTCGTATCAATAGATGAAAAGCTTTATCACTAAACTAGTGTGTGTTCATTTTCTGTTTGTAATCTACAGCCAGTCACTCTTGATGACGTCCATCATTATTTCAGATAGCAGTTTTTTCCTTAATGGTTTTACTTACCCTACTCTGCTACACCAAATTTTTGGTGCCTTTTATTGTTAGTAGCAATTTCCATACTTACTTTCCATATAACTTTTTTCATCCAGCATTGAGTGCTGCAGATATTCTTCTAGTAAGATTTGCACATCTGCTGGTCTTCTCAGTGGCAGCTTTAAAATGCTGCAATAATTATGGAATTCATCAGCCACTTGTACAGTGGTTAACTACTTCCCGTCCGGCCCATGTACATAAACGGCAGGGGAGGAGTGCAGGAGTGGGTGGCCATTTATAAACGCCCTCCCGCTTCCCTGTTTCTGCGCGCTTCCTGGGAGCGTGCAGCACCGCAATCCAGTGCCCTGCTATGTCCTCCGTACACAGCTGAACACCGATTGCTGTATGGGACCTCTGTGTGAGGTCCCGATCAGTGATCACATGAATAGCAGTAAGCAAGATGTCACTTCTGACATCATTGCTTACTACGTGTGAAATCTGTGAATGATCACAGAGGTCACATGGTACAAGGCTATTCACAACAGCCTTGTACCATGTGACAAGCTGTGACCAATCACAGCTTGCACAGTATTTCTCAATGACTGCAAGAATCCAACCAGAGAGAAGGGGAAATTATTGATTTTACAGCCTTTATGGGTGTAAAAGCAATCAATGTAAAAAAAAATTTTCATCACCCCCCTACAAGTAGTACAGTGTCACTATGGTGACACTGTACTGCTAGGGTGACAGTATGTAAAAAAAAAAAAAAAAAACAAACATAAATAATAATATGAAAAAATAAAATAAAAATGTTAAAAAAAGTTGTTTAAAAAATTAGAATTTTTGTTTATAAACTAATTTGGGTTATTTTTTTTTTTTCACTAAAAAGATAAGTGAATACATTTTGGCCAAGATTTATGAAGAAAGATTATTTATTTGCAAAATTGTACAATAAAAAAACTTTTTTTCAAAATGTTTAGACTTTTTCATTTATATAGCAAAAAAAATAAAAATCCCAGTGGTGAATAAATACCACCAAAATAAAGTTTTATCTGTCTTAAAAAAAATGCTAAAACATTCATATGGGTACAGTGTTGCATGACCGCGCAATTGTCATTCAAAGTGTGATAGCAATGAAAGCTGAAAATTGGCCTGGACAGGAAGGGGGTAAAAGTGTCCGGACTGGAAGTGGTTAATGATCACTTCCTCTTCTTCCCATTCCTGACTTGTTCAAACACTTCTATTTAATGCCCATGTCCTGCCAATCAAAATAAGGGAAGGCTTCTACACAATGTGCATCTGCATGTAGTGCATGCGCCTCTTTGGTGCATTAGGCAGCTCATTGAAATAATGGGTCCCTTTAACACAACAGCCAGTGCCCACATGTAAATGGATCCTTATTATTTGTCACTAGATCTTAACACAATCCACTTACTTATTACTCAACAGAAAAGTAGAACTGGCTTTGTTTTTATTACTCTTTGCCAAGTATGTTTCCCAAGACTGAAAATGATCTTCTTTCAATAAATAAAAAGGTACAGTCTGTTTCTGGAACATATCCAGAAGAGCCTTCTTTGGAGTAATGCTTACACATAATATTACAATCATCTATTGTTGTAAATCTAGGATTAAAAGTGTTGCACACCTCAGCATGGCCAAGGTGTGGAAATCTGGATTCTGAGTCTTCTACTGAATTCAAATAGGTTTTGCCAGGTAAAAGTAATAAACTGTTTTCATTTGTATTTAATGCTTCTCCCTCCTCACTGGCCTGCCTCGCCGCTGGCTATCCCCGCTTCAGTCGATCCTGAATACGGCTGCCAGACTCATTCACCTTTCCAACCGCTCCATCTCCGCCACCCCCCCTCTGCCAATCCCTCCACTGGCTTCCGATTGCGCAATGGATCAAATTCAAAATCCTAACACTGACGTACAAAGCCGTCCACCATACTGCCCCGAACTACATCACTGACCTAATATCCAAGTACCGCCCAACACGCACACTCCGCTCCTCACAAGACCTCCTTCTCTCTAGTTCCCTGGTCTCCTCCTCCCATGCCCGCCTCCAGGACTTCTCCAGGGTGTCACCCATCCTCTGGAACTCCCTGCCCCAACCCATCAGATTATCACCTACTCGCCTCTCCTTTAGGCGCACCCTGAAAACCCATCTCTTCAGGGAAGCCTACCCCACCCCCTGCTAACTTGCCGACCTCCTCCACTCTTCCTACCACTCCATCCCCCACAGCTATCTCCTCCTGTGCCACCATCCCCTCCCTCCTAGATTGTAAGCTTGAAAGAGCAGGGCCCTCGATCCCCTCATGTTTTGCATTGTATTGGTATTGTTCTGTCACATGATCTGTCCCCCTTTTGTAATGTACAGCGCTGAGCGAACTATTGGCGCTTTATAAATACTGTATAATAATAATAATAATATTTTGGATTCTCCATTTACTGTGACATCCTAAAGTCCAATACTTTAACATAAAGTATACTTCCGTTCTATACCCCCCCCCCCTTAGACCCCTTAATGAGAAACTTTACTTGCCCCTATTTTTTTTTTTTCTTGTAATCTCCATCTACCTGTCATGTAGCATTGCCCTCAGTTCAGATACTTATCTGCCCAAAGAATCCAACATAATTCAGCTGTGATCTACTGATCAGGTGCAGAAGCCTGGGTCCTGCGCCCTATCTTAGTCCACCCTCTTCAGTCATCAGAAGCTGACTGCCTCTACCGAATTCAGGTATTGAGTCTCACAGGACTCACAGGAGTCTCACATAGCTCTGCCCACCAAGTCCTTGCTCCTCCAGCCTCCTGGGATATGTGTTGGAATACAATGTTCATGTATTTTTGAACAACTACATCAACATCAGTATTCAACCAGTAGATGGCAGTGTTTATAAGTTTGTAGTTGCATCTATGGTTAAACTCTATGACTTTTCTCTATAATAAAGTTTCCTGTTTCCTGTTTGTAAAGAAGCAGCAGATAAACATATGTGGACTGTGCACCGTCTGTTCTGTAGGGCTATAGACAGAATCTTTAACAATATGAGACATGGTATCCCAGCAAGTTGAAGGCGCAGGGACATTTTATTCTTAACAAAAAATTTAAAAGACCTGCACCAAAGAAATTAATAAACCATAATCATCAAATGCTGCTGCTTGAAAGATGAAAAGACAGCCCCTGTGTGGGTGCACCTTTTGCTCTGTTGGTGTTAGAGCACCGTTTTCTTAATTTTTTTATGTGCAATTGATGGACTCTGCGTGGGCGTGTCTTGTTGCTCCTGTTGTTTTTAAATGTTTATAAACTAATAAAAATCATTGAAATACAAAAAAAAGATGAAAAGACATCAAATATAATAACAAAATGCAGCGCAAAAAAAAAAAATGTTAGTATTATAAAATAAAGAAAAGTCCAGATAAGTCCCAAATAAAAGTCTTGTGCTCCAAAGCAAAAAAAATGTGATGAGAAATTACATAAATTTTCCAGCGTGTTCACATCATATGTGATAATTCTATTTGCACCCACACTTACCCAAGTGGATTCCCAAGCTATTATGGCTTAAGGATCAAAACACATTTAGAGGTGGGATGGGGTCTCCACAAGTGTATCTCACTTGGGAAATCCTTAATGCCTTCCAAACGATCCCTCTCAGATTGATGAAAAATGCAAAAAAAGGAAAAAAAATAAGTGTAATACTGCATAAAACTAAAAAAACAAAACTGATGTTCAAAATTGCACTCACATTAAATAAGTTTGTAACCAGCTTAAATGGACATGAAAGCCTCCTAAACGACCCCCAGCAATACTTCCTCAGCGACCTCCAAACTCTCGCTCATAGACAAGATGGCGAATGCAAAAAAATGGGGAGAACCAATAGCGTAATACTGTATAAATTTTATTACAAAAAGTTGATGCCCATATTGCACTCACATTTATGAGAATAAAAGAAAAGCCTTATGGTAAATCAAACTCCTTAGGCAAACAGAAAATCCACTCTGACACTTCCCAATAGCATATTCAATAATCACAGCAACATAGAAAGAAGTGAAATGGCAGCAGTAGGGAGATAGAACTATCCTTCCCACACAAAAGATGGCCGCGGAACGCAGCACCAGCGTGCATTCCACTTACCGGACGTGACGTAACACGTCATAGATCAAAAACCAGAAATTACTTCAATGCATTTTGCCCCTCCTCCATGGCATCGTCACACTGTACATATATTACATTTATGTAATTTATTTCCCCACAAATAGAGCTTTCTTTTGGTGGTATTTTATCACCTGTGCTTTTTTTTATTTTTTGCACTATAAACAAAAAGACAATTTTGAAAAAAAAACAATATTTTTGACTTTTTGCTATGCTTGAGGTGATTGTAGCCGTATTAGTGCATTTGCGACAGGAACAATTGAGTACTGTCCGTGATACTTTTTTTATTTGCACTAACATACAATTTTGAGGACAAGCTTTCGGGGTATGTCCCCAGTACTGCTTAGACCTGAAGAAGGGGACATTCCCGAAAGCTTGTCCTCAAAATTGTATGTTAGTGCAAATAAAGAAAAGTATCACAGACAGTACTCAATTGTTTCTGACTTTTCGCTATAAAACATATCTAATAAAAAAAAATAAAATGTCTTCATAAATTTAGGTCAAAATGTATTCTGCTACAATTCTCAGAAAGTGTGTATTAATTGGTTTACGTGAAAGTTATAGCATCTACAAATGGAGGTGTATATACTGGAATTTTTACTTATTTTTTATACTAGAAATGGCGTCGATCAGCGACTTATAGCGGGACTGTGGCGAGCATTCTGACACTGGGTGGGACATATTTCCAGTGACACTAATAGAGTAATCAGTGCTAATAGCACTGACACTGTACTAATGGCACTGGGCAGGAAGGGATTAAAATCTGGGGCGATCAAAGGGTTAACATTGTGTGTTTTACTGTGAAAAGTGTGTGCTGTTGTACTAGGGAAACCTGCTGCTTTCTATCTCTCAGCTGTGCAGAGAGATAGACAGCAGCACGTCCATGCTGACAGGAGAGAGACCTCTGTTTACATACAGATCTCTCCACACTCAGCTTCGCCGATGATCATCCAGAGATTGACATCCTCAGGAGCCAATAGAAGTGCAGGTAGGGCAGAGCGCATCCCCCTTCCCGGAAAAGCAAAGTCACGTATATTTTCGTGATTTTGCACAGCGCGACCGCCCTGTAGCAGTACATCTGCTATGGGGTGGTCGTCAAATGGTTAAAGCACATCTCTGGGTAAAGTAAAAACCTTCCCTTTCAGGGAGGCTACCCCTGCACTGCAAGGGTTAAATGCTTGTTTAAATTGTGGGGGGGGGGGGGGGGGGGGTCACAAAAAGCAGTTTTACTTACCTGATCCTCTGTTCCCTCTGCTCTTGAGTCTATGGGAAAACAGAATGGTGAAGGAGCAATGAGATTGTAAATATCAGCAGCTGCAGGGGCTGGTTGCATGGGCAGAGCACAGGTTGACTTTAACCAAGATACACAAAATCCATCACCAGGGGCGGACTGACAACGCATGGGGCCCCCCGGGCAATAGGGGAACATGGGGCCCCTGTGTCCTTGCCCAAACTCAAAAAAGCCTATGAAAAAGGTACGAGGGGCATCTCATGGGGCCCCCTACTGACCCCGGGCCCTCGGGCAGTGCCCGAGTTTCCAAATGGTCAGTCCGTCCCTGTCCATCACTAGTCATCACTGGCTGCTGAGAAGAACACAAGACTGAAGTCCAACTGTTCAGACCGAGGGCAGTGTTGCACATTTTTTAAATTGCTATTTGCTATATAAATTGTGTGGTGTTACCTGGAACAATCACAAGGTAAGAGCAAAACAAATATCCTTTATGAAACTATTTGAATGAACTCATGGTCTCCCTTTGCATTATCTCATTTTTCTTTCTTACTTATTGTTTGATACAAAGGTGATCCAGATAACATAAGGTACTGCCTTTACTGTTTCTGGGCTTTGTGAAACTAGATTTTCTTTGTACTGTGGCTTGAGACCTGGACTATTGCTTCTTGTAAACATTGACATGGATAAACAACAGAAAAAACAGATAAACCATTAATCAAAGCTGGCTTTTGGTCACATTGGAAAATTATATTGTATATTTAAACCAAAACTTTAATTCTTAACATTGGATAGCATAATGAAGGGTTAGAGCCCTTGTTAGTTTTTAATTGCAGTTTGTGACCCTGATGGGAAGACTCACCCTATTTGCCCTGGTGTCCACTGTCTCGAGTACAGATAGTGAAATCCAAATATGTTAAGTTGTCACAAGAAAAAACCTTCCAACATGGAAACCTGTTTTGGTCACTGCTGTCTAAGGGGATATCCCTGTGCTTTGAGATAGTTAGGTCCATATATATTTGGAAACAGGCGTAATTTTCATACTTTTGGCTCTGTATGCCACCAGAATGAATTAAAACAAAACAATACAAATGAATTTGAAGTGCAGACTTTCAGCTTTAATTCAAGGTGTTGAACATCAATATCAAGTACAAATTATAGGAACTGCAACCATTTTTATACACAGTCCCTCCATTTTTAGGGGCTCAAATGTAATTGGAAAAATGAATATGATCATAAATAAAATGTTAATTTTTAATATTTTGTTGAGAATCCTTTACTGGCAATGGCTGCCTGAAGTCTGGAACCCATGGACATTACCAAAGACTGGGTTTCCTCCTTTCTGATGCTTTGCCAGGCTCTAACTGCAGCTGTCTTCAGTTCTTCTTTGTGGGTCCTTTCTGCCTTTAGCTTTGCCTTCAGCAAGTTAAATGCATGCTCAATTGGGTTGAGATCAGGTGATTGAATCGGCCATTGCAGATTATTCCACTTCTTTTCCTTCGAAAGCTCCTGGGTTGCTTTTGCAGTGCGTTTTGGATCACTGTCCATCTGTACTGTGAAGTGCCGTCCAATCAACTTTGCTGCATTTTGCTGAATCTGGGCTGACAGTATATCTCTAAACACTGCAGAATTAAATCGGCTGCTTCTGTTACATCATCAATAAACACCAATGATCCAGTGCCACTGGAAGCCATGCATGCCCATGCCATCACACTGCCTCCACCATGTTTTACAGATGGAGTTGTGTGCTTTGGATCATGAGCTGTTCCAAGCCTTCTCCACACTTTTTTCTTCCTGTAATTCTGGTACAGATTAATCTTAGTTTCATCCATCCAAAGAATGCTTTTCCAGAACTGGTCTGGCTTTTTTAGATGTTTTTTGGCAAAGTCTAATCTGGCCTTTCTATTCTTCAGGCTTATGAATAGTTTGCACCTTGTGGTGAACCCTCTGTATTTGCTCTTGTGAAGTCTTCTCTTGATTGTAGACTTTGACAATGATACTCCCACCTCCTGGAGAGTGTCCTTCACTTGTCTGGATGTTGTGAATGGGTTTTTCTTTACCATAGAGAGGATCCTGCGATCATCCACCACTGTTGTCTTCCGTGAACATCCATGCCTTTTTATGTTGTTGAGCTCACCAGTGCGTTCTTCTTTCCTCAGAATGTACCAAACTGTCGATTTTGTCACTCCTAATGTTGCTGCTATCTCTTTGATGGATTTGTTTTGTTTTTGAAGCCTTACAATGGCCTGTTTCACTTGCATGGACAGCTCCTTTGAAAGCATGATGTAGGTTTGCGGCAATAGATTCCAAATGCAAATACCACACTTAGAATCAACTCCGGACCTTTTACCTGCTTAATTGATGAAGAAATAATGAAGGAGTAGCCCACACCTGGCCATGAAACAGCTTTTGATTCAATTGTCCAATTACTTTTGGTCCCTTGAAAACAGGGGGATGGCTAATCTTAAGAGCTGTAATTCCTAAACCCTTCCTCCAATTTGGATGTACATACCCTCAAATTAAACCTCAGAGTGTGCACTTTCATATACAGTTGTGGCCAAAATTATTCAACCCCCAATGCTGTAAAGGGGTTTAGGGACTATAGTGTACATTTGGAATTGTATTCAGAATCAAATCCTACAAGGACGTTGTAACTACCCAAATGCAACTAAAATGACATCAATTGTTTATGTAATACAGTAGTAAATGGTTCTTATGTGGTTTCTTCATTGCCACAATTATTCAACCCCTTAAAGACTACCACTCTGAAGAACAGAGGTTCATACAGGTGCTTTCCATCAGGTATTGAAAACACCTGTGGATGTCACCGAGCAGCAATCAAGCATAATAAGCACCAATTAGGCAGCTTTAAAATGACTGTGATACTCAGCTCCTTCTAGACATTTACTGGTGTGGTTACAAACATGGTGAAGGCAAGAGAATGGTCCAGGAAGACAAGAGAAGAGGTGATTTCTCTTCACAGGAAGGGCAATGGCTATAAGAAGATTGCAAAGATGTTAAACATACCAAGAGACACCTTAGGAAGCATCATTCGCAAATTCAAGGCAAAGGGCACTGTTGAAACACTACCTGGTCGTGGCAGAAAGAAGATGCTGACTTCGACTGCTGTGCGCTACCTGAAGCGTAGAGTGGAGAGAAGTCCCCGTGTGACTGCTGAGGAACTGAGAAAAGATTTGTCAGATGTGGGTACAGAAGTTTCAGCCCAGACAATAAGACGCACACTGCGTAATGAAGGCCTCCGTGCCAGAACTCCCAGGCGTACCCCCTTGCTGTCTCCAAAGAATAAGAAGAGTCGACTGCAGTATGCCAAAAGCCATGTGGACAAACCACAAAAGTTGTGGGATAGTGTTCTGTGGACTGATGAAACAAAATTAGAACTGTTTGGGCCCATGGATCAACGCTATGTTTGGAGGAGGAAGAACAAGGCCTATGATGAAAAGAACACCTTGCCTACTGTGAAGCATGGTGGAGGGTCAATCATGCTTTGGGGCTGTTTTGCTTCTGCAGGTACAGGGAAGCTTCAGCGTGTGCAAGGTACCATGAATTCTCTTCAGTACCAGGAGATATTGGATGGAAACGTGATGCAGTCCGTCACACACCTGAGGCTTGGGAGACGTTGGACCTTTCAACAGGACAATGATCCCAAGCATACCTCCAAGTCCACTAGAGCATGGTTGCAGAGGAAAGGCTGGAACATTTTGGAGTGGCCATCGCAGTCACCAGACTTAAATCCGATTGAGAACCTCTGGTGGGACTTAAAGAAAGCAGTTGCAGTGCGCAAGCCTAAGAATGTGACTGAACTGGAGGCCTTTGCCCATGAAGAATGGGCGAAGATACCCGTAGATCGCTGCAAGACACTTGTGTCAAGCTATGCTTCACGTTTAAAAGCTGTTATAACTGTAAAAGGATGCTGTACTAAGTACTAAGATTGAATGTCACTTGGGGGTTGAATAAAACTGATAATGCTGTGAGCACAGAAAAGACATTTGTGGTTATTTCATTATAACTGTTATGTTATATTTGTCTGACCTACAAGTGCCTCTTTAATGTAAATGTAAGCAAGATGACTGAATGATCAAAAGCAATGTCAAACTGGCCAAAACACTCAATTTCAGTGGGGGTTGAATAATTTTGGCCACAACTGTATAACTATAGCCTGAATATGTTTTGGTAAATACCTAACAAAAAACTAAAATTGTGCCTGTGTCCAAATATATATGGACCTAACTGTATTTCCTCTTACTTCTGTTGTGCCTCTGGAAATACATACACTTTTAAAGGAAAAATTATAACTTAACAACTTGCCGCTTGCACACAGTACTTTTACTGTGGACAGGCAGCATGGCTAGGCTCAGCAATATGAATATACAGTAGATATAAAAAGTCCACACACCCCTATTAAAATGTCAGGTTTCTATGATGTAAAAAAATGAGACAAAGGTAAATCATTTCAGAACTTTTTCCACCTGGTTCACACTGATGTCGTGTGGAATTTGCAGCATTTTCTGTGCAAATTCTGCACCGCATCAGAACTGCACCCCATTCATGCGAACCACTGCGGGTGTGTATGTTAAGCTAACAACACACCGAAAGCGGTCCGCAAAATGCGGTGCGATGTGCAGAATCGTATCACATAGGTGAGAATACCCATGCGATCCGATTCTAGTGTGGACCAAAAAAGGGTCCTACACCTTTTTGGTGCAGGTGCGGTGCGATTAGAGCCATACAAAATGTATCGCTCCAATTGCACCGCACACAAATCGTATGTGATTTGCACAGGAATGCGGTGTGGTTCCTGTGCGAATCACATGCAATATACCGCACCGTACATATGTGAACCCAGGCTTAATGTGACCTATAAACTGTACAACTCAATTGAAAAATAAACAAATCTTTTTTGGGGGGGGGGAATAAACATAAAAAACTAAAAGAGTGTGGTTGCATAAGTGTGCACATCCTTAAACTAATGCAGGCCATAGACGGGTCGAAAATCGGACGATTTTTCGGCCGAAAATAAAATCAGTTGATTTTCGCACCATTAGTGGGTTAATTGGTCGGCCGTTTTTCGGGGTTTGGCACATTTTTTTTATTGGTAAAGTTGGAAAAAAATCTGCCGATTTTGCCGATCGGACTATTTTCCAGGCAATGATGGGCAAATCGGGTGATCGTTTTACTGATAAAAAATCTGTGCATGAGCAGTGGCCTGCAAGAAGAAAAAGAAGAAGAAAAAGAAGAGGAATTCCACTCCGCTATTATATTTGACATGAAAAAGTCTTGCGGTTGCAACAATTTATCTATTTGTATCTGAATAAACCCATCT